TGGCGCTGGCTGCTGGGGACTCGGAACTCCTGCAGCTGTCGTGGGGGGAGGGGTTCTACAGGTGCCTGTCACTCCGCTTGTGGCCTCGCTGGCTGTTAATCCAACGGTTCCGGCCATGCTCTCTGAAGGCCTGGCAGCCTGGACCCAGGAGGGGAGGGAGCTCAGGGCGGGTGGAGGGGGAGCCAGGCAGACGCCCCGGGAACTCAGGGAGGCTGGGTGTGCGACAGGAGGAGGAGGTGCCGGTCACGAGGATCTGCCTGGCGTCGCTCCCTGGAGGGCACGTGTGTGCACACGGGGTGATGTGTGTGCACAGGCTGGCGTGTGAGGAGTCCACACCTAAGGGGCAGGTGGGCTGAGGGGCTTCAGAACGCCGAGCTCCGGGGGCAAGGGGCTAAGCCTCATTCATTCCTGTGACCCTGCACTCCCTGGGTCTGACCCATCCCAGCCTCCATACACGAGTCTTGAGGAATGCGGGTGTAAGGGCCTTGGGAGGGGGGCGTATTATGGAGGTTCCCTCTCGGCCCACGGCCCTCGGTGGGGGCTGGAGGCCGGGTTTGGAGGACACGTTGTGGGGGTGACACAGGGAGGAACAGGAAGATGCAGGCAGCGTGGCCGGGGAGCAGGTCAGCACAGCCTGTTGCTCTGCTCTGCTCTGCGTCTGCCTTGCGACCGAACCCCTCTGCCTCGACTCGGCCCCACCCCTCCCCGCGACCCAGCTCACCCGGGGGGAAGGTCTATTCGCTCCATTTCCAGAGAAGTTAGGACACTTAACAGGCCACCCCCCAGGGAGGGTTGGAATTGGGGTTGCAAGCCAGGCATCCTGCTTCCCTGTGGCCCAGCCTCCGGGGCCCCTGCCTCTGTAGACCTCCCGCTCACCGGCTCAGCTCCTCTCTTCTGCTCCCCCTGGTGTGGCCTGAGACTTTCCCACTGAGTCACACTCTGGGTTTCTGACTCTGTGGTCCCTGTCCCTCTCCAGCTTTAAATTTCTCTTTCAGAAAGGCAGCCAGGCCTCTTCTCATGTGCCCTCTCTCTTTTCCCGCCTCCTCCCCCACACGCTGCCCCCATCTCTCTCACTCATCTGCCCTCTGACAGCCTTTTGGGCTGTGCCCAGCAGGGTGGAGGGCCACAATCCTGGGTGCTGGGGCCCCTGTGCTCTGAGTCTCCACTGACAGCCACCCCCTCCCCAGCTCCCCCATGTACTTGCCGCTCAGCCCTCCCCACACCTGGAGGTATCAGCCCTTTCAAGAGCCTTCTAGGTCCCTGGAGAGGAGCCGGGTGGCCGTCAGATTCCGGGGTGAGGGGTCTCTGGTCTAGTCCTGGAGCTTCTGTGGGACAATCTTCCTGATGTCTGGAGCGCAGACAGTGAGCACACCGCCTTTCTGATGTTGGGACACGACTTGGCGATGGGAGAGCAAAGTGGGAGGGGGCGTGAGAGGGGGATGCATGGACTCCCTCAGGTTCTTTTTTTTTTTTTTTTTTAAATCCTCACTCAAGTGAGGATATTTTTTCCACTGATTTTTAGAGTGAGTGTAGAATGGGGGGGGGGGGGGAACATTGAGGTGAGAGAGACACATGGATTGGTTGCCCCATTCATGCCCTCCCTGGGGCCGGGGATTGAACCTACAAGTAAGGTTTATGCTTTTGACTGGGAAATCGAACTTGAGGCCCTTTGGTCCATGGGCGGACACTCTCATCACTGAGCAAGCTGGCCAGGGCTGGAGTTCTTCTTAAAGGCACAGGTTCCGGGGACCTGCCACCGTGGGGATCACACTCTGGAGAAGCGCGTCTCGGGAACCCACACTGTAACAGCCTCGTGGCACCGTCTGCAGCCACAGGTGTGAGCGTGCCACCTGGCATCAGAGGAGCCGCCCTCGTGGTGGGTCCGGATGGAAACCGGCTAAAAGGAAGCCTTGACTCCACACAGAGGACTACAGGCTGGAGAACATGGGTCTCCAGGCTGGTGGTTAGGGGCCGTTTTCTGTTTTCCAAACCTTTTCTGGATCGCTTTTCTGTGATCCTACGACTTTTCATTTATTTTTATTGTTCTTCCTCAAAACGGAAATGCACATATTCTGCAGGGCAGGGCCCTGGATCAGGCAGAGACCGGCCAGGGTCTTGCCTGGCTGTGCTACGGACGCAGTGTGTGAGTTTGGTAAATCCGTTTCCCAAACTGACTCTCTGTCTCCTAACTGTGACCCTCCCGATCCGGACGCACATCTGTGCCTCGTCGGCCCCTTGCCCCATCTGGATGCCCTGTGGGTTGACGGGATGAGAGAGGGGCTGGGAGAGGCAGTGACAGGGAAGTCAGGGGACCCCAGGGGGGCCTCCTCTCCTGCTCCTCCTTCCACCACTCCAGCCCCGGGGCCTGGGAAGAGGTGAGGTGGCAAGAGGAGGAGGAAGTGTCTTCTTCTCACCCGAGCTGGCAGAGGGGCGGGACTGGCAGCGGTGACACCTGGGCCACTCAGCCCCCGCTTTTCACAGGCACTTTCTTTTCTGGGTGGCAGAAATCAGAGGGAGGGGGTGAGCCCTGTGTGGCTGATAAGCCAGGTTGTAAGACCCTCTGGCAGTCCATCAGGCCATAGGAATACCACCCCCGGCCACCCGCGCCCTCCAGGGACATGGCCCAGGTCCACCTGCCCAGAAAGCTGGGGAGGGGGAGCTCCCGGCCCCCCTGTTCAGAGGTGGGGGGGGGGGAAGCAAGGGAGGACAGCCCTCGGCCTTCTGCAGCCAAGTTCCCCCCAAAGAGGTGTCAGCCCTCAACAGTCTCCTGTCTCCTGCGGACCACCATTCAGGAAAGTCTTACTGGAATCCCCCATGTTCCCCAAAAGGATCCCAATTAGCCAAGGATCCCAAGGTCACCCTCTCTTTCGAGCAATGCGCCCCGCTTGAAATGGCAGGCAGAAACTCCCGCCTTCCTTAAAGCACGAGGGGATGATGGGTAAAAGGCTGGGAGGGGGCCTTTCCCGTCCCAGTGCCTGCCGCTGTGTATCTGCCTCCATCCTCGGGGGATGTGCTGGTTCTCTCTCCCCCCACCCTCCCTGGGTCATGCCCGCCCCCTGGGGTCCCCCACTTTGCCTTCGCCTGCCAGCCTGCCTCTTGGTTCAGCTCTAGTTGGGAGCAGAGAGTCCCCGTGGTCGCCTCAGGGTGAAGTCCTGCCGGGCTGGGCCAGAGCTGTGGAGATGGGGCCAGCCCCCAGGGGAGGACCGAAGGGGGGGGGGCGGGAGGCAGGGGAAAGGAAAGGTGAGCCTTTACCAGATGAAAGTATTTCTCAAAAACCACTCTTTTCAGATGTAAATCTTTATCTATATATTGACATGCAAAAAATTCCATGACACCTTGTAGAGTGAAAGAGAAAAACACATTACAAAGCAGAACGTGTGGTGTTTATATAAGATTACCTGCTGGTGTGTGGGCCCATGCACACATGCACACGCACACACGTGGGCACGCGTGTACACACACGCACACACAGGACAGAGAGGCTGGCTGCAGGGGGTAACCTCTGGAAGGGGGGTCACGGAAAAGTGAACCCTAAGTTTGGAGGCTTTACAGGCCCGATTTTACTTTTACTGCCTACGTTTTCTAGGCGAGTATGCTTTGTCCTTATCTACAGGAACACTCCCATTGCTGCCATTCCGAATTGGGGGAAAAGGATAGTTTTCATCATAAAGGGAATATCACATGAGTCAGCAGAAAAGGAAAAGCAGAGACAGAAAAGCCGTAGGTTTCCTTCCTGTCAGCGGCTTCTGAACCCGTTCAAAGAGCTTTCCCACTGAGATGTAACGATAGTGCTGCCCGGGACCCCCCTCAGGCGCGGCTCACCGCCCCTCTGAAAAGCAGACCAGCTCCCCTTCTCCGGAGGCACCGAGGCCGAATTCCAGGGAAGGGAAGTGACTGGCCCAGGTCACACACACACCTGAGTGGCAGGCACACAGCCGGCCCCGAGACTTAGCACTGGCAGCCCCGTGCCACATAGAGTGCCCTGTGCCAGGCCCGGTGAGGAGGCTTTGGGGGGCCAGAGGCTGCGGCCAGATGTACTCCCCAAGGAGCCAGGCTCCAGGTCCGCCCGGGGCCTAGCCGTGGTTCTCAGCCTTCCGAATGCCGCCACCCTTTCGTACCGTTCCTCCTGTCGTGGTGACCCCCCACCGTAAAATTATCTTCGTTGCTACTTCATAACTGCCATTTTGCTACTGTTAATAAAAAATTGTAAATATGTGTTTTCCGATGGTCCATAGGCTCCACAGCAGCGACCCACAGGTTGAGAACCGCTAGCAGGGTCGCCTGAGACCATCGGAGAACACAGATATTTACATGACGATTCATAACAGTAGCAAGATGACGGCTATGAAGTAGCAACGAAGATAATGTTATGGGTGCGGGTCACCACCCCAGGAGGAACGGTACGAAAGGGTCGCGGCACTCGGAAGGCTGAGAACCCCTGGCCTAGATGCATGTGACACAGCCCACCTGGGCCTCGGGCGGGAGAAAGAGTGTCAACCAACACTCCCTGCAGAGCCTCCGAGCACAGCGCCTGGCACACAGCGGGCATCCGGGAGCGGCGGTGGGACGTTCCGGGTGGAATGGCCCGGAGCCTGCATCTCACTGAGCCGGCGCCCAGGGCTCCCGCAGGAAGGGAAGGGCCCTGGAGCTGAGCCTCCCGGGTGGGTGGGTGCCCACGAGGGTCCAGCGCAGAGGAACGGGTTGGGTGAAAACCACGTCTGAGGCTCGCAGGGACTCCCCCTCCGCCCCGTGGGCCCTTCTCGGTAGAATGTGTGGAGCAGCAGCCGCGAGGAGGCGGGGCGGGCGGGGCGGGGCGAGGTGGCGGGTGCCGGGGACCCGGGGCGCTTCATAAAGCCTCCGCCGGGGCGCGGCGCGCTGACAGCGGCCGCCGGAGAGGGAGCCCGAGCCCCGCGCCCGCCGCCCGCCCCGCGGGCCCAGGACCCCGGCGCCCGAGCCCACATCGCTGTGGGGCCCCCGCCCCGGGGCCCCGCCCCGCCCCGGCCCCCGGCCCCGGCCCCCCCGGGCCGCCCCGCGCGCGCAGGGGGCCGGCCCCCGACGGCCGCGGCCAGGTGCCCGCCCGCCCCTTATGGGCATCCTGGAGCCGGGCTGCAGAGCCATGCTGACGGGCACGGAGCTGATGCCGGCGGGCGACCAGGGCCGGGCGCCGGGCGCCGACCCGCAGAACCGCTACTTCTACCCGGAGCCGGGCGCGCAGGACGCGGCGGAGCGCCGCGGGGGCGCCGGCCTCGGGGCGCCCTTCGCCGCCGGGGCCCCCCTGGTGTCCGCGCCGCCCGGCCGCTTCCTCGGAGCCTACGCCTACCCGCCCCGGCCCCAGGCCGTCGGCTTCCCGGGGCCCGGCGAGCCCTTCCCGCCGACGCCGCCGGGCGCCGAGGGCTTCCCGCCCGCGGACGGCTTCGCGGCGCCGGACCCGCGCGCCGGGCTCTTCCCCGCGCCCCGCGAGGACTACGCGCCGCCCGCCGGGCTCGAGGTGTCGGGGAAGCTGCGAGTGGCGCTCAACAACCACCTGTTGTGGTCCAAGTTCAACCAGCACCAGACGGAGATGATCATCACCAAGCAGGGCCGGTGAGCCGGGCCCGCCCAGCGGGGCGCGCGTTTTAGTCTCTCTCTCTCTCTCTCTCTCTCTCTCTCTCTCTCTCTCTCTCTCTCTCTCTCTCTCTCTCTCTCTCTCTCTGTCTCTCTCTGTCTCTGTCTCTGTCTCTGTCTCCCTCACTGTTTTGGTTTAGGGCTTAGGGAGGGAGATGGGAGTGAAAAGTTCTGGGTGTTGTCTGCTCCTGGGACATGACACCAACCAACAGACAGACCTCAAAAGGGGGATGGAGGAGAGTGGGTGCAATGAGCGTCACCTTGGTTTGGGGGTTCCACCCGGAACTGAGGTGCACCCCGCTTTCCGCCTGAGTGGGGGTGGCAGTAGGCAGAGGGGGTGCCGTGTTGAGGGTCTGACTGGGCAGGACGCCTCTGAGCCCTTGTGTGCAGGGAAGTGGAAGGGGAGGGCCGTTGTAACGGAACCGGCACTAGCCCAGTGCTCATGTTAGGGGTTCGGGGTCCCGGTACCACCTCACCCAGCCCTGCTGCTGCTGTGGTCCGCAGGCCGGCTTTGGGAGGGGCGGTGAGTGTAGGATTCGGTGACATGGAGACGCAGCGGCCAAGTTTCCTTTCCGGTAGTACTCCGAGTTCCTATGTCTGGTGTGAGAGTGTGTGTGTGTGTGTGTGTGTGTGTGCGCGTGCGCTGGGGGTTGGTAAAGAGTGGGGCACAGATCCCCTCCAAAACCAGAGGGCACAAATGCCCATGGACACAGCAGGCGAGGCTAACCCAGGGGGCCCCGCTGGCAGCCGGTCCCGTATTCTGTGCCCTCTGAGGCCCGTCCCCTGAGAGCCCATCCGCATAGTCACAGGCCTGGCGTGCGGGACCCATGGCTCAGGGCCCCCGGAGCTCCGTACGGGCGGGTGGGGCAGGGCTTGGGGCCGGGCGAGCTGCTTCCGGGGAGAGCCTCCTGCGTGGGGGGAGAAAGAGAAACTCCGCTGTGTGGTGTTTGTTTGGTAAGCAGGACGCTGAGCGGCCCTGCTGTGTCTGACCTGTGAGGGGCGCTCACCTTTCCCCTGAGGGCGGGGGGGGGGGGCCCTGTCTGGGGAGGGGCTGTGTGGTCCGTGGACCTGGGGAGTGTTGATACCAAGGATGGGGCTTGGGGAGGAAGGGGGGAGAGGCCATTCAGTCTGGATATTGCTGGAAGGTTCTTCCCTCTTGGTTTCTGTGGGGCGGCCTGGGATTGAGGGACACGGCCACCAACCACAGTTGGCTCACGTGGCTGGGCTGTTCCTCTTTCCCTGGGATGGACCCAGGATGGTTGGCATTGTCTCGGTGGCATGACCTTCATCTCCTAAGCCTTCTGATATTCCTCTCTGCACCCCCACCCCACCCCCCGGCTTCTAGTCCTATTGTGTTTGAATGGAAGGGACCCAGAAGATTTTGTCCAGTCCCCTCCCTGCACAGACACGGAAACAGGCCCAGGGACAGTAAGAGACTCTTCTGAGGTTACACGGCCCCCTTGTCGCTGGCAGAACTAGCATCAGAACCCAGCTGGTCTCTGCCTGGGTTTCTCCCGGGGCCAGGAGTAAAAACAGCCCCACGCTGTCCGAGGGCCTTGATGCATTCAGAGTGCTTTCACTTCCAGTATTTCTCTGTGCGCTAGCTCGGCCGGGCGGTCTCCCCATTGTACAGCTGAGGGCACTGAGGCGCAGGGATTGTGAACAGGCCACACGCCAACACAGAGGCCTGGACCGGGCCTCCGCCCTGTGAGTGTCAGGAAGCTGCCTGCCCCGGGACCCAGGCCTCCCCACAGCCACTGTCAGGCTGGAGAGAGGAGGTGGAGGGAGCAGCAGCCAGAACGTCAGGGACCTGCTGGGGGCTGGGCCAGCTGTGGTCTCCCCACGGGCTGTTCAGGGGGGTATTTCAGGGAATGAATCTCTGAGGATGGGTCCCATCTCTGCCCCTCCAGCCTCCTTCTTTCCTTTATGTTCCTGCTGAATAATTCTGTCTTGACAAGTGAGTGTTTTTTTTTGTTTTGTTTTTTTTTTTGTGTGTGTGTGCGTGTTTGTTTTTTGTTTTAAATATTTTATTGAGCCGAAACCGGTTTGGCTGAGTGGATAGAGCGTCGGTCTGTGGACTGAAAGGTCCCAGGTTCGATTCCGGTCCAGGGCATGTACATTGGTTGTGGGCACATCCCCTGTGGGGGTGGTGGGGTGCAGGAGGCAGCTGGTCGAAGTTTCTCTCTCGTCGATGCTTCTAGCTCTCTATCCCTCTCTCTTCCTCTCTGTAAAAAATCAATAAAATATATTTTTTTTAAAATAAATAAAACGGCATAGGAAGTCAGAAACATCAATCAGCTGCCTCCTGCACAACCCCCACTGGGGATGTGCCAGCAACCGAGGTACAGGCCCTTGACTGGAATCGAACCTGGGACCCCGCAGTCCGCAGGCTGACGCTCTATCCACTGAGCCAAACCGGTTTCAGCCGTCTTGACAAGTTTTGTTGTCTTCTTCTTAGATTCATACACTTACTTTTTCTAATTTTGAAAAATTCCGATAGCCCTGGCATCAGCCCACGAACCAGAGGCTGTGGGTTTGACTCCTGGTCAAGGGCACGTACCTGCGTTGAAGTCCCGGGCCCCAGTCAGGGCTCCTGCGGGAGGCAACTAGTCAGTGTGTCTCTCTCACATTGATGTTTCTTTCTCTCTTCATTCCTTTTTCTCCCTCGCACTCTCTCTAAAAATCAATGGGAAAAATATTCTCATGTGAGGATTAACAATACAACAAAAATTTCAATATAGTTGACCCTCAAACAATATGAGTTTGAACTTAGCGTCTTAACGTATACACCCTTTTAAAAAATAAATGCTATAAATGCATTTACTCGTCCTTATGATTTTTTCCTAGTTGCATTTTCTTCTCTCTAGCTTACTTTACTATGAGGATGCAGTATATAGATATATAACAGATAAGATATGTTAATTGACTTTCTGTTATCTGTTAGGCTTCACTTACTAGCCAACAGTAGACTATTAGTAGTTAAGTTTGGAGTCAAAGCCATAAGTGCATTTTCGATTGCACAGGGTTTGGGGCCCCTGAGCCGTGTTGCCGAGGGTCAATCTGTACACACAGAGTGAAGAGAAGACTGTGTGGGCCCTCCCTGCCTCGGCCCACACCTAGCTCCCCAGCTCTCAGCGCCAGTCCAGTCTTGTTCTTTATCTTCACTCACTGCGCTTCTACTCCTCCGGTCTGTACCTATAGCAGTGATAGTGTAAAGAATCAATAAATCCCAGACACAATAATATTTCATCTGTAAATATTCCTTTATGTACCTTTAAAAATGACTTTAAAAAATAAACACAATACCATTTGCAAACCTGAAAAGAAATACCTAAATATCGTCCAATTTTCCTGATTGATTCATAAGTGTGCATGCTCGTGTGTGTGTGTGTGTGTGTGTGTGTATTACAATACTCACACTTTTTAAGATATATATATATATATATATATATATATATATATATATATATATATATATATAATTTCCAAGAGGAAGGGAGAGAGAGAAACATCAATGAGAGAGAGAATCATTGACCGGCTGATTCCTGCACGGCCCTCCACAGAAGATGGAGCCCACAACCTGGGCGTGTGCCCTGACAGGAATAGTGACCTCTGGGTTCATAGGTTGGCACTAAACCACTGAGCCACACCGGCAGGGCCAGTCATCACACCTTTGATCCACCCCGAGGGACTCCTTCAGACACTGTGGGCTCTCGTTTGGAAGAGAACAGTGGCCCCTCACCATGTCCTCTGATTCCTCCCCTGGGATCGGGCCTCAGGGTCCACGTGGTGGGTGGAAGGGGCAGAGGACACACCACCCCGATTCAGTCCCACCAGCCCTGAATCACCTCGTATCTGAGCTTGGGCGCCAGTGATCTGGGGAGTTGGCAGCCATTTTCTTCTGCCACTGGCTTCTGAGCAGTTAGAGTTGGGCTCAGCCCTAACCGGTTTGGCTCAGTGGATAGAGTGATGGCCTGCGGACTGAAAGGTCCCAGGTTCGATTCCGGTCAAGGGCATGCACCTTGGTTTCGGGCACATCCCCAGTAGGAGGTGTGCAGGAGGCAGCTGATTGATGTTTCTCTCTCATCCATGTTTCTAACTCTCCATCCCTCTGTAAAAAATCAATAAAAAATATATATATATATTTTTAAAAACGAGTTGGGCTCAGAGAACAGCTCCCTTTCCGTCCTTCTGCTTTGGCAGGCCGGCCTGTCCCTCTGTGGGTTCCGGTGACCTGCCAGTCACCACCTCACCCACGGCCTTCTTCCTTTCTGAAAGATCCTTCCAGCCCAGGCCCACCCACAGCCCTGCGGCCTTCTGCGTGGAGCTGACTCACTTGCTCCCAGATCCTTCCTCTCCCTCCCACCCGGGTCCCACCCCCCCCGTGGGGACCACAGCCCAGTCACCGTCTCCTTCAGGGAGCGGGCGGCCACTCCAGGCCCAGAGACATCCAGGCGGTGCCGGTGGAGCGGGAGGGCGAAATGGAGGAGCAACCGATGGACTGACTCCCTGGAGACCTCCTTTCTGTCCACGTCTGTGTGTGTGTGGAGATGGGGGTGCCGGAGGGTGCCCCCTCAGGCCTCGCTGTGCTTCTGTGCAGTGGCACAGTATGTGCACTTTGAAGGTGCCAGCGAGCACCGATAGCAGGCAGCAGACGTTCTGGGCAGAGGAAGAGAGAGGCCAGTGTCTGCGTGTGGGGGTGTGTGTGGGCGTTCATTAATCGCTGGCATTCCCCACGCTTCTGGGTGTGATTAGCTGATTATTATAATTAAGATAACTTCGGGAAGGTCCGCTGCTGAGTAGCTCGATTTGCATCCGGGTACGTGTACGTGAAGCCAGGGGTGGGTAAGGCAATCTCGGGCCCACACAATCCTCCGCTGCTGGCCTCGCCGCGAGTGGGGTTTCCCCTTCTCTGCATTCCCGGTTCCAAGAACTTCATAAATCTTTCAAGAGCATTTTTAGATTTCAGGCTGCTTTCATTTGGGGCCGACTGGCTTTATTTCTCTGAGGGCAGATGAAACCAGCTTTGCTTTCGCATTGGCTGTTGGCTAATGGCCGTTTGACTTCTATGAAGCGGGTCTGAGGTTGGTGGGAGGAGGGGACCCCGTGATGGGGAGGACGTTTTGCTTCTTGCTGGGCACCGGGCATGGCCCGAGAACCCTCCTAAAAGGGGGAACCAATTTACACCACCCCCCTCACCAGTACGAGAGGACCCGTTTCCCGCGGGCCCATCAATGACGTAAATTATTACCAATTTTGAAACATTTTGCCAACATGACTGACAAAAAAAAGCCTCCTTTTATTTTTAAAAAATATATTTTATTGCTTTTTTTTTTTTTTTTTTTTATGTAGAGGAAGAGACAGGGATAGAGAGTTAGAAACATCGATGAGAGAGAGACATCGATCAGCTGCCTCCTGCACATCCCCCAATGGGATGTGCTTGCAACCAAGGTACATGCCCTTGACTGGAATAGAACTGGACCCTTCAGTTCGCAGGCCGATGCTCTATCCACTGAGCCAAACCGGTTTAGGCTTCTCTCTCTTTTTTAAAATCTCCTTTTAAATTCGTACTTAATGGCAGGGCCTTGGCGCCGCCCGTCAGAGGTGTTGGTGATGGGGAGGGACACGATGGTGCTGTGCACACTTCACGGTAGAGTGGTCTTTAGGGGGACTTGGGGTCTCGGACCCTGCCCTCTGAGAGCAGAAAGGCCAGTGATCTTTCGGGGGGGGGTCTCAGTTTGGCACCGACCCGTCTTTCCTCCCTGTTCCTTCCCAGCGACATGTTATGTAAATCAGGGGCTATTTTGGGATTCCAGCTGGTGGTGATTCTAGACTTTTAGGGTGAAGTTGAGACCTCCCTTCTCCTCTCCCTTCGCCCGTCCTCTTCCTGCGCACCCTTCGTTTCCCCGTATGAGTGATGAGCGAGATGGAGGAACGGAGACCGCAGTCTGTGCTTTGCAGTCAGGAGTCCCGGCTCTGCTCTCCCTCCAAGGAGCCAGCACCAAATCTCTTCCAGCCTCGTGTTCTTCAAGTATCAAATGGAAAAAAAAAACATTTTTTAAACATATTTTATTGACTTTTTACTGAGAGGAAGAGGGAGGGATAGAGAGTTGGAAACATCGATCAGTTGCTTCCTGCACACCTCCTACTGGGGATGTGCCCGCAACCAAGGTACATGCCCTTGACCGGGATCGAACCTGGGACCCTTCAGTCCTCAGGCCGACGCTCTATCCACTGAGCCAAACTGGTCAGGGCTGGAAATAACATTTTATATCTCAAAGGCCTGGTTCAATGAACTGGCTACTGCATAAGTAGAGATTCAGGGAATATATTCCCTTCTGTCCCTTGATCCCTACAAGGTGGAGGAACCTGTGACCAAGCATTAGGAAGTGCTTGAGGGACCTGAGCACTGTCGGAGAATGAGTCGGTGGTAGGAATGGGTTGAAAATATTCTCCCACCCTCCATTGCTCAAGGCCTCGGCTGGCCTACCGAGCCCCTGGACTCCGGACTGGAACTCTGGGCTCTTGCTCAGGGTCCTTCCGCCTGGCCAGAGGGCTTTGACAGCTCCGGGCCTGGGACAAGGTGGGATGGGGGTGGGATGGGAGAGAGGGCGAGCTGAGTTTCACATCTTGTGAACGTCTTAACAGCTGTCAGAGGAAAGCTGGGCGGGAGTCATCGTTTCCATTGACGGGTGAAGAAACTGAGATTTGGTTTGACAATTAACTTATTCAAGGTCATAGGGCCGGTATGTCTCTTGACCTCAGCCCAGGAGTATCTGAGGAAGACAGGAATGCGATCATGTTCCCTCCTCCCTGGGTTATTTTTTTAAAAAAAATACATATTTTTATTTTATTTTATTATTTTTATTTTTATTTTTAAATATATTTTATTGATTTTTTACAGAGAGGAAGGGAGAGAGATAGAGAGCTAGAAATGTCAATGAGAGAGAAACATCGACCAGCTGCCTCCTGCACACCCCCTACTGGGGATGTGCCTGCAACCCAGGTACATGCCCTTGACCGGGATCGAACCTGGGATCTTTCAGTCCGCAGACCGACGCTCTACCATTGAGCCAAACCGGTTTCGGCTAAATATATATTTTTATTATTTCAGAGAGGAAGGGAGAGGGAGAGAGATAGAAACATCAACCATGAAAGAGACTCATTCATGGGCTGCCTCCTGCACACACTCTACTGGGGATCGAACCCGGGACCCTTCAGTCCACAGGCAAACCAGTGAGGTCTCCCCCGTTCCAAGGTTATTAAGGGTGTTTCTGTGGGACCCTTAGGGACTAGGGTCCACCCAATATTGTTCCTTGGGCCCTGAAACTCTCTTGCCCCAGGTTTCCTGACTCGTGGACTAGTGTCTTTCCTCCCAGCTCACGGAACTTCTCGTAGGAGGAGGGGAGAGGTGTGTGGGAGTGAAAAATAATTCTGGGGAGGGTAATACTGATATCCCGAGAACGCTGCTCTTCCTGCTGTGTTAGAAGAGGAAGACTGAGCCATTGGCGATGGTGATGGCTGCTGCTGGTCGAGGCGGTGGCTGTTGCGGAGGGGGTAACTGTAGTGATGATGATGGTGGAGGTGTTGGTTGTGGTGATGGTGGAGATGATGCATGTAGGGACCGTGGTGATGGTGATGGTGATGGTGATGGTGACGGTGGAGGTGGTGGCTGCAGTGATGGTGGTGATGGTGGAGATGATGCATATAGGGACCATGGTGATGGTGATGGTGACGGTGGAGGTGGTGGCTGCAGTGATGGTGGTGATGGTGGAGATGATGCGTGTAGGGACCGTGGTGATGGTGATGGTGACGGTGGAGGTGGTGGCTGCAGTGATGGTGGTGATGGTGGAGATGATGCATGTAGGGACCATGGTGAAGGGGTTGGTGATGGTGACGGTGGAGGTGGTGGAAATTGTTACGGTACGGGCGTGCCTCTTTCTCTGAATCTGCTACTCTGGCACAACAACGCAGCGTTCCAACACCAACTTCCTCCCTCTCCCCGGGAGCCAGGGCTTCACGCATGGGGACTGAGCTAGAGAGAGCCCTCTTGCAGGGAAGCTCCACTTAGGACTTTATTTATTTATTTAAAATATATTTTATTGTTTTTTTACAGAGAGGAAGGGAGAGAGATAGAGAGCTAGAAACGTCGATGAGAGAGGCAGTCCGCAGACCGACGCTCTACCACTGAGCCAAACCGGTTTCGGCTCCACTTAGGACTTTAGCTGCTTCCCTGAAGGCCCAGGCCTGGGGCAGGCCCTGTGAGAGACACCAAGGCCCTGAGGGACGGGGCAGGGAGAGCCCGTGGAAGGGTGCGTGAGGAGAGGCGTGTGTCAGCACCGTGAGAGCCACCGTGGAAGGACGTATGTTGGGTGGAGGCCAGACCAGGGCTCGGGCGGGGTGTGTGTGTGTGTGTGTGTGTGTGTGTGTGTGTGTGTGTGGAGTCTGTGGCCTGAGGACTTAGCAGGAACCGCCTGTAGGGGGCGGGCTGGAGGCTTTGGTCTCCGCTGGGAAATAAATATCTAGTGGTGACAGCTAATTTCTAGCCACTGGCCCCCTGAGAGAACACATTTCCAGAAGCCTGATTCTCAGTTTGCTGATTTCCGTGGTAGACATACTCCTACGGTGGCCGGTTTCAAGCCCCCGTGTGATATCACTGAGCGCGGAGCTGGGAAGAGTCACGGGGTCTGTACGTTATCAATTATTAGGTATAAGAGATATAAATGACCTCAGTAGCAGAGATCATAGGAAAATGGAGCCAAAGTTTTGGAAAGTGATGATTTTTTTTTTTTTTTTTTTTTTTTTTTTTAGCATTGATTACCTCAGTTTATAATATAATGTACAGGGTGGGGCAAAGTAGGGTTCAGTTGCCCTAACCGTTTGGCTCAGTGGATGGAGCATTGGCTTATAGACTCAAGGGTCCCAGGTTCGATTTCGGTTAAAGGTGTGCAGGAGGCAGTCGATCGATGTTTCTAACTCCCTCTCCCTCTCCCTTACTCTCTGTAAAAAATCAATAAAATATATATTTTTAAAAAGTAGGGTTACAGTTGAAACCAGTTTGGCTCAGTGGATAGAGTGTCGGCCTTCGGACTGAAAGGTCCCAGGTTCGATTCCGGTCAAGGGCATGTACATTGGTTGCAGGCACATCCCCAGTAGGGGGCGTGCAAGAGGCAGCTGGTCGATGTTCCTCTCATTGACTTTCTGTCTCTCTATCTCTCTCACTTCTTCTCTGTAAAAAGAAAAATCAATAAAATATATTTTTTTAAAAATCAATAAAATATATTTAAAAAATAAATAAAAACAAAAAGTAGGGTTATAGTCGTTCGTATGTGAAATAATACAATAATAAACCGCGAGTTGCGTAGTCGCAGCTGTACCCTACATTTGCCCCCCCCCCTGGATTTCACTGCGAGTTTATATAACGTAATGGCTGAGCCCGGCCGGCTGGCTGTGGGAGGGTGGGCGCCGGCCCGCACCCCGCGGGGCCTCTGTCCGCGGGGCGGGGCTGACGGTGCGGGGGTCTGTCTCCCCAGGCGGATGTTCCCGTTCCTGTCCTTCACGGTGGCTGGGCTGGAGCCCACCAGCCATTACCGGATGTTCGTGGACGTGGTCTTGGTGGACCAGCACCACTGGCGCTACCAGAGCGGCAAGTGGGTGCAGTGCGGCAAGGCCGAGGGCAGCATGCCAGGTAGGCGCCCCCTGGGGGGGGACGGGCACCCTTTTCCTCCGAGACGCCCCCTGGTGGAGTCAGGAGGAAACTTCGAGTCCCTGCACCGCGCACCTAGGATTTAACCCCCATCCCACCCTACCCCGTCCCCTCCCTCTTCTCTCCTCCACTCTCTGTCCTTCCTTTTCTACTGGACTCTGGCCAGTCCTCTGCTCTGTCCCCCGCCCACACCGCCCCTCGCCCTGCCTCGTCTGATCCTCCCTGGCATCCTTTTTCCTTTCTTTCCTTCTTTCCTTCTTTCCTTCTTTCCTTCTTTCCTTCTTTCTTTCTTTCTTTCCTTCTTTCCTTCTTTCCTTCTTTCCTTCTTTCTTTCTTTCTTTCTTTCTTTCTTTCTTTCTTAACTATTTTATTTATTTATTTATTTATTTATTTTTATTTAAAGAATCAGTCTTTTTTTTAAAAATATATTTTATTGATTTTGTACAGAGAGGAAGAGAGAGAGACAGAGAGTTAGAAACATCGATGAGAGAGAATCACTGATCAGCTGCCTCCTGCACACCCCCCACTGGGGACGTGCCCACAACCAAGGCACATGCCCCTGACCGGAATTGAACCCGGGACCCCCAGTTCCCAAGCCGACGCTCTATCCATTGAGCCAAACCTGTATCGGCTATTTTATTGATTTTTTTACAGAGAGGAAGGGAGAGAGATAGAAACATCGATGAGAGAGTGTCATCGATCAGCTGCCTCCTGCACACCTCCTACTGGGGAAGTGCCCACAGCCCAGGTACATGCCCTTGACCGGAATCGAACCTGGGACCTTTCAGTCCGCAGGCCGACGCTCTATCCACTGAGCCAAACCGGTTAGGGCCCCGGCATCCTCTCTGATGCCCCCTCGGAACAGGCCGAGGCCCACGTCACCGGGGTCTGGCCCCGGGGGCCTCGGGCCTCACAGGCTCACTGTCTGCAGGAAACCGCCTGTACGTCCACCCGGATTCCCCCAACACCGGGGCCCACTGGATGCGCCAGGAAGTCTCATTCGGGAAACTGAAGCTCACCAACAACAAGGGGGCCTCCAACAACGCCACTCAGGTGGGCCTCCGCCCCGGCCAGCGGGGGGGGGGGGAGAGGAGGGAGGGGAGAGGGGGGAGGGGAAAGGGGGGAGGGGAGTGGGGAGGGGAGAGGGGAGAGGAGGGAGGGGAGAGAGGAGAGGAGGGAGGGGAGAGGGGAGAGGGGGGAGGGGAGAGGGGAGAGGAGGGAGGGGAGAGGGGGGAGGGGAGAGGGGGGAGGGGAAAGGGGAGAGGAGGAGCCTGCAGGCTGGTACAGTGTTGAAGAGCCACGTTTCTCCCTCTCTGACTGTTTTCTCCCGCCCACCTCGAGGGGAAGGAGCTGAATCTCGGGCACAAAGGGTGGTGTCCCATTCAGGCCGAGGCCAGGCTGCCCCGCTCTGGCGCCACGCTGGCACGGAGGCATGGCTGTGTCTCAGGGCACGGATGCCCTGAACGCCCTGTGGGTGCTGACAGCCCGGTCCCGGCGGACGGCTGTGGAGAGGAGCGGGGCGGGAGGGTGGAACGGGCGCCTCCGAGGAGCTGGGCGCGGAGGGGCGGCCGGGGGGCAGCTGCCGGCGTCAGGCCCGGAATGGACAGGATGGCCTGGGGGGTCCTTCCACCCCCGCCCACCCGCACCCCTCCGCCCCCGCAGATGATCGTGCTGCAGTCCCTCCACAAGTACCAGCCGCGGCTGCACATCGTGGAGGTGAGCGAGGGGGAGCCGGAGGCGGCCGGCAGCGCCTCCAGCTCGCACGTCTTCGCTTTCCCAGAAACCCAGTTCATCGCCGTGACGGCCTACCAGAACGCAGAGGTGAGGCCGCCGGGGGCCGCGGGCCGGGCCTGGGCGGGAGGGGGGGGCAGTCTCCCCTGGGCAGATTTTGGGAGTTCCCAGCCCCCACTCGGGACTCAGGACCCTCCCCTCCCCTCTCTCCAGATCACTCAGCTGAAAATCGATAACAATCCTTTCGCCAAAGGGTTCCGCGAGAACTTTGAGTCGTAAGTGCCGCTGGTTCCCAGGCGCCTTTGCGGAGCAGAGCCGTCCTGAGCCTGGGCCCAGGCCCAAGCTCCGCACGTTTTCCTCTCTGCCCCGAGGGTGGGAGGGACTGGGACGGTGCTGGAGGGACTGGGACGGGTGCTGGAGGGACTGGGATGGGTGGGGGAGAGACTGGGATGGGTGGGGGAGGGACTGGGACGGGTGCTGGAGGGACTGGGACAGGTGCTGGAGGGACTGGGACGGGTGCTGGAGGGACTGGGACGGGTGCTGGAGGGACTGGGACGGGTGCGGGAGGGACTGGGATGGGTGCGGGAGAGACTGGGATGGGTGCGGGAGGGACTGGAATGGGTGGGGGAGAGACTGGGATGGGTGGGGGAGAGACTGGGATGGGTGCTGGAGGGACTGGGACGGTGCTGGAGGGACTGGGATGGGTTGGGGAGAGACTGGGATGGGTGCTGAGGGACTGGGACGGGTGCGGGAGAGACTGGGACGGGTGCTGGAGGGACTGGGACGGGTGCTGGAGGGACTGGGACGGTGCTGGAGGGACTGGGATGGGTGGGGGAGAGACTGGGATGGGTGCTGGAGGGACTGGGACGGGTGCTGGAGGGACTGGGACGGGTGCTGGAGGGCGGGTGGGCCAGGGCAGAAGGACCCCGGAGGCCTGTGCCACAGGCAGGCTCTCAGGCGGCCAGTACTGCTCCTGACCTCTGTCTTCTCCCCTCTCTCTCTCTCTCTCTCTCTCTAGCATGTACGCATCTGTTGACACCAGCGTCCCCTCCCCGCCTGGACCCACCTGTCAGTTGCTCGGGGGCGACCCCTACTCCCCGCTCCTCCCCAGCCAGTACGCCGTCCCCAGCCGCTTCTACCCGGACCTGCCCGGCCAGCCCAAGGACATGGTGGCCCAGCCCTACTGGCTGGGGGCGCCGCGGGACCACGGCTACGAGGCCGAGCTCCGGGCCGTCGGCGTGAAGCCCGCGTTCCTGCCCGCGGCGCCCGGGCCCGCCCTGCCCTACTACCGCGGCCAGGAGGTGCTGGCGCCCGCGGCCGGCTGGCCCGGAGCGCCCCAGTACCCGCCCAAGGCCGGCCCGGCCGGCTGGTTCCGCCCCGTGCGGACTCTGCCCGGGGAGCCGGCCCCCGAGGACCCGGGCCCGCCCTCGCTGTGGACGGACATGGCCCCCCTCCGGCCGGAGTCCGGGGACTCGGGCCTGGGCGAGGGAGACTCGAAGCGGAGACGCGTGTCCCCCTATCCCTCCAGCGGCGACAGCTCCTCCCCGGCCGGGGCCCCCTCTCCTTTCGACAAGGAGGCCGAGGGCCCGTTTTATAACTATTTCCCCAACTGAGCCGAGGGCTCGGCGGGTGGACACCGAGGAACTCGAACACCGGACTCAGGACCGAGCCGTCCCCAGCTCCTTCTGCTCCTGCCCCTTCTGTGGTGGGTGGGGAAGGGGGGGGGGATTCTGGGGTTCGCCCGCTGCTCCTCGGCCCAAGGAGTGTCCCCCCGCCCTCCTGTGCCCTAACTACAGTCCTCATTCACCTGGTGCTGCTTCTGGCCGGGCTCACAGCCCCAGAACAGAAAACAGAACAAGAAGGTCGTGGCCACCAAGGAGCGACCTCTCTCTGGGGGGAGGGGGGAGGCGGGCAGGGGGCTCAGGTGGGGACGTGAAGGTCCTGTTCTCTTCTCTGTAGAAGAACTTTAGCATTTTTGTGTGTGTGCGTGCGCGTTCCTCTCCGATGGGAAGTAAAGGCACGTGGATCGGATAGCGGCCGGCGGCCAGGGCCCGGGAGAGGGTGTGGGGACTGGGCAGTGCCCCCCCACTCAGAGCCACGGGTCCCCGGGGGGGCCTGGTGCCGGTCTAGGGAAGCAAGGTTGGTCTTGGGTGTGCGCGCCTGCGCTTTTTTCTTTTCTATTTTTTTTTTTTTTTTGTGTGTGTGTGTGTGTTTTGTTTGTTTGGGGAACGAGGCGGCTATTTATTGTACGGAGAGTGGTGTCTGGATACACGCCTGTTGTCTTCATCACTTTCTGGAAATAAACATGGAACAGTTACGTGTTTCTCGCTCTGGTGCCCGGCTGGGGGGCGAGGGGCCGCGCCGGGAGTTGCACCGAAGTTGTCCTGCGGGCTCAGAGACAGGCCCGAGCTGCCAAGAACCTGAGCCCGGAGCGGCTTCCTCCAGGCCCTGTGTCAAACACAAGGCCCGAGGGCCAAATCCGTCCTGCCAGGCCTTGCAATGTGGCCCACACCGCGCTGTCATCACTGCACTCCGCTGCGTTTCCATCACAATGACAGTTTATGACTGTTCAGTAAACCATTCGGCCCGCGATTTAGGCTGGATTTTAGATTTTGGCCCCTTCTCTGATTGAGTTCGACACCCCTACTCCAGGGGGTAAACGGAGCTAAAGCGAGCACACCTGTCCTACGGTCAGCGCTCAGGTTGGTGGGGGGGCCACCTGGAAAGGCGTCTTGGGGCAGAGAACCACCCATCTTCATCTTAGGGTTGCTCGAGGTTTAAAGGTGTAAGCGTAAGTCGGACCACAGGAAGTTGCTGTGTTAGTGGGACAAGAATAGCCAAATATTGGCAATTTCGTATGATTCTACCTAGTACATGCAACGGGTTTAGAACGGTGCCCGGTAAGTGGTGTGTGAATCACGGCTGCTGTTAACTGCTATCTTGCCCTGGCTCTGCGTCTCTCTTTATTCACAGGTGAGTTGTGTTGGGTACATGCTTCTCTTAAAGAATTTAAGCAACGCAGAAAAGCATTAAAACCGCAACAAATTACCCCAAATCTAACCACCCGTCAATCATTACCACTCACATTAGATGGTTAGATAGAAAGACAGGCATACTTTTTTTTATAAAATTGGAATCACACTGAAAATGCTTTTTCTTAAGCAACACTCCATACTACTGAATTTTAGTTAACAACAACAACAACAACAAACCAAGCCCAAACCTGCCGAACCATCAAACCCCCCCAAACTCTCAAATGAATGAAAGGAATTGCTGAACTCGAGATCAATTTTTCTCCGCGATAAGAAACATCCCCTGGAAGAGCACGCTAAGATTAAGAAAGTCGCTGATGGGAAACATTAAGGAGCTGTGTTTACTGTGTGTGCCCAGCCCAATTTACAGTGCCCTCCTCCGAGCGGTGTGATTGCAATTCTGTCTGGAGCCTGGGACTCTGTCTGTCCCAGGTCACATGTCTTCTCTGGCTGGTCTCTGCCTAGAGACCGTTTTCATCACCATCTGGTCAAGAGAAGGAGGAAACAGAGACATTTTGGGTTCCCTCCTCCCGGATCAGAGAGCTCAGAGCTCAGAAATGATGTCGGGAGCTCTGCCGTCCTGTCCTCTGTGAGGGCGGGTTGCCCCTCCGTCTGGAGTTAGTGGTATTGAGTCGGCTGGTTTCCCCTCTCGGGGAACTGTGGTCAGTCGTTACAGTCCTCTTCTCCCCCCCGTTTTTAAACGGGTTTTGTTCACGTCATTACCTACGGAGGCGGAGGGAGTTGGATTAAGTCTGACTCCATCGTCGTTTTCCCAGAAGCCTGGCTGCCTGTGTTTTGATTCTGCGTCGGAAAGGTTCATTACTATTATTCCTTCTCTACTACTACTGAGTGTATATGACCATACTATTTGTGACTATAGTATACATACAGTCTTTAAGTTACTATAATACATTTTACCTTGAATGTTGTATGGTCTGGCATTAATATTCCAATTTGCACTTTGTTTTTATTTGAATCCATCTGGTCGGTTTTCTCATAGTTGATCATGTTTCTCGTAGTTTCATTTCTGTTGTAGTTATGTCTTTGTCAAGCTACAAGCTAATGGATTTAAAAACACATTTGAAGACTCTTTCCTTAACTTTTTTCTATTTAAGGACATATATAATAATCACTGGTTAACACACAATTAAAAAACTTAAGCACTGGTGCCGAAACCGTTTGGCTCAGTGGATAGAGCGTTGGTCTGCGGACTGAAAGGTCCCAGGTTCGATTCCAGTTAAGGGCATGTATCTTGGTTGCGGGCACATTCCCAGTGGGGGGTTGCAAAAGGCAGCTGGTTGATGATTCTCTCTCATCGATGTTTCTAACTCTCTACCCCTCTTTCTTCTTCTCTGTAAAAAAATCAATAAAATATATATTAAAAAATTTAAAAGAAACTTAAGCACTGGTAATATCATAGCTAATTATAGATCACTTCATCCCATCTCCTACCTTTTCTTTACAGGTTACCAGTACCATGAGTTTTTGTGTGTTTTTTGTTTTTTTTTCAGTACCATGAGTTTTGTGTTTATCTTTTTCTTGCTTTTAAAATTATGTGTTAACACTTTTTATTATCTCATTATTACACTGTTTGGTTTTAGTCGAACTTTATAAAAAGTATGTATGTCTGTATATATCTTATGTTACCTTTCTATGCATGAACAGGGACTATTTCTTCATTTATTTAGTTCAAACCCTTTTGGTCCTTCAGTGAAGTTTTACAATTCATAAGTATGGGACTTGTACCTCTTTTATTATTAGATTTATTCTTAGGGTGGTTTTTTTTTTCACTATAAAGGGTATCTTTAAAAAACATATGTCCCCTAGTATATAGAATTGCAATTGATTTTTGCATGCTGAGCATAAGATCCACCTACCTTGCTAAATTCTGTTATTATTTTTTAGTGGTTTATGTAAATTCAGATTTTCACTATGGCTAGTCAGATTATTTCAAATAATGACAGTTTTATTTCCCCCTTTGTGATCATTATGCTTTTAACTTTTCCCCTGTCTTCTTGTGCTGGCCACAACTTTGAAAGCTAATTTCTTGCCATTGGGCTATGAGTCCCAACCCCTACTTATTTCACTTTTCCCCTTTGTGCTGGTTTGGCATTTCTGCAATTTACTCCTATTATTTTAGTGGTTACTCTATACATTTTAACATGCACACTTAACCTAGCAAACTTGAATGATATTTTGCTTTCCTTCTAATCAATAGGACAACCTCAGATCACTTATTTCTGCTCTCCCCCCCCCACCCTCCCTCCTGACATAGTATGGATTTTCCTCCCAGTTCAGTCCTGCCGTACGTCAGTCTCCACAGATCAGACTCCTGTATCACTATACTGAGACAGTAATTATTTTTATGTCACCATTCTGTTTGGTTCACTTCCCATTTTTACATTTCTATCTCTTTCTGGGATCACCTTCCTATTTCTTAAACTAAATCCTTTCTGAGTTCTTTTAGAGAAGATCTCTCTGTAAATCTCTCATGCGCTTGTTTCTTATAAAGAGTATTATATTTCCCCTTATTATTAAATGATAGTTTTGCTGAGTACACAATTTTAAATGCTCAGGTTTTTTTAACATTTTATTTTTTAAATATATTTTGTTGATTTTTTACAGAGAGGAAGAGAGAGGGAATAGAGAGTTAGAAACATCGATGAGAGAGAATCATCGATCAGCTGCCTCTTGCTGCCTATTGGGGATGTGCCCGCAACCAAGGTGCATGTCCTTAACCTGGGACCTTCAGTCCGCAGACGCTCTATCCACTGAGCCAAACCGGTTTTGGCTTTTTTTTTTTTTTTTTTTTACATTTTATGAAAGCTGTTGCACTCTCTTCTGGCTTCCATGATTGTGAAATCTGTTGTTACTTTAATTATCATTCTTCTATAGGTCTTCTGTCTTTTTCTTTCTGCTTTCCAGATCTTCTATTTATATTTGATGCCCAACAGGTTCACTGTGATGGCAAGGTATGAATTTATTTTTTATCATATGTGGGATATGTTGTGCTGCCTGGATCAGTGTATTCATGGTTTGCATCAGTTCTCATGATCTTTTTAAATATTGCTGCTTTTTAAAAAATACATTTTATTGATTTTTCCAGAGAGAGGAAGGGAGAGGGATAGAGAGTTAGAAACATCGATGAGAGAATCGATCAGCTGCCTCCTGCACATCCCCCACTGGGGATATCTCCGCAACCAAGGTACATGCCCTTGACCGGAATCGAACCTGGGATCCTTCAGTCAGCAGGCCGATGCTCTATCCACTGAGCCAAACTGGCCAGGGCTAAATATTGCTTCTTTTCTTTCTCTCCAATTTCAGCCTTTGGGACTCGAATCAGATGGATGTAAGACATTCTCATTCTATTATTTTTCATGTATCACAGCTCTCTATTGTATTTCTTTCCCCTTCTTTCACTTTGTGGCACTCTGGATGAATTCTTTGGATATATATTTTAGTTTAATTCTACTTTTAACTGTAGCTAATATACTGATTAGCCTATCCATTGAGATTTTTTTTCACATTTTACAAAACACTTTTTATACATATTTTACATATCTCCATTAAATTTTTATTTAAATATTGTGCTTTCTATTAATTCATTCATTTCTATTAGTTCATTTATTTCTAATTTGTACTATGTGGGTGGTTTCCTATCGTATATTTTCCCCTCACAAATGCATTTTGTTCCTGTAAACATTCTCTAGGCAGCTGCTCTGTGTTTTGTATTTGATATTTACAATGTTTGCTCTCTTTGTGGAGGGTAGTGGTTAGGGTATTATCTAAATATGTTGTTTCTTCTGACTCTCATTCATGGTGGGTTTGCCTTCTTGCACACTTGCGATCTTTATTTGTGAGGTTATGTTTATTTTTTTTAAATATATTTTATTGATTTTTCACAGAGAGGAAGAGAGAGGGATAGAGAGCTAGAAACATCGATGAGAGAGAATCATCGATCAGCTGCCTCTTGCACACTTCCTACTGGGGATGTGCCCGCAACCAAGGTACATGCCCTTGACCGGAATCGAACCCGGGACCCTTCAGTCCGCAGGCCGACGCTCTATCCACTGAGCCACACCGGTCCCGGCGTGAGGTTATGTTTAACTCTTAACCCACTGGAGTCCCATAAAACTAAGGTGGGGAACTTTCTATCACTGATGTTGCCTCTGATTCAACAGATGTGGGGCGCCACGTGGTGGCGAGGCTTCTCCCCAGCAGGATAGTTGACCTTCTTGGCTCAGGGCTCCGAATGAGCAAGACAGACGCTTCCAAGCCTCTCA